AAGACAGAGAGAGAGAGAGGCAAAATTGATCAATTAGACAGATCAACACTGCAGTTCGCAATATTGCGCAATTTTCTATATTAAAAAAGGCTTAAATTTTGCAATTAACCAAAGAGGAAGGACACACGTGTCGAATTTATTCGTTTCAAGATAGCGTTCGTTCTCGATAATTTCCAAGGTCAGGGCGTCGTCGTCGGAAAGGAATTTGTAGGAAAGCGCCGGCTTCTCCACACTTAGGGTTTACATTGATAATCTCCCGTGAGTCTGCTTCAGCGTCGCCGCACGGCGTATAGGTCACCAATATAACACCAATATGAGTCGCGCGGGTGAGATACGGGGTCCATTAGGTAACTATTATGGACTTGTTGACGCCAAACGCGCAGGGACAAGGAGACTTGGCTCTGATCCTTTGACTCGACCAGTCCAGTTGTTGTTCCTCTCCGATTGTGCCCCTGTTTCTTTCTGTTTGTTTCTGACAACGGACCCCCCCCTCCGGTTTCCTAACGTATCTCCGTTAGAAAACGAAGATCGTGCGGCATGCAACGGCGTGACGTCAGCACACCGATACACGCGATTGGCACGCTGCCAAATATTTGGCGTTCGTGTTTGCGTTTCAAAGACCACTTGTGTTTGCTGCTGCGCGGTTGTCTGTTGATTTCAGAAGGCAATATTGTCCGGGCCTGCGCGAGCTATCACCAGCCAATAGCGTGTCAGAAATACGGCGCGCTGATTGGTCGGTGCGTGCCAGGCCCCCATTGCAGCCGATAGTGACAAACCCTGGCATCGCGTTACGGGTCCAACTAATTCTCAATGGAAAAGAAAGTTTCTTCCTCGTTCCACTTCTCCTTGAAATGACATTGGGAACGCATGCAAATCTCTCATGCGATGAGAATATATATATAAACATATATTGTATGTTTGTGTAGTCGTTATCGACGTTCCTGTCTGTATCGGCAGGAAATCAACTACAGGCGTATACACGTGCGTGCGTGCGTGCGTGCGTGCGTGCGTGCGTGTGTGTGTGTGTGTGTGTGTGTGTGTGTGTGTGTGTGTGTGTGTGTGTGTGTGTGTGCATGTGTGCGTGCCTACATGCGTGCGTGCCTGCGTACGTACGTACGTGCATGCGTGTGGGCTCGTGTCTGTGTGCGTTAATGCGTGCGTGCGTTCCCGCGCATGTGTGCCGCGTAAAAACTGTGCGCGTGTTTGTGTGTAAAAACCCACGCGGAGAAATCCGCAACATCTTTCATCTTTTTTCACGACGTTTATTGGTAGCGGCTTTATTAGTTTTTATCTCGCATCCTCGGCGCCTGTATTCGTGCTTTCACCAACCGATAAAGAATTCATTCCCGAACCCCATTCCCGCATACGTCCAAAACGCACCGTGTAAACTATATGCGGTACGACACGATTTTATGACCCCTGCGATATCGGATGCACTAGACGCATGTTCTAATTTCTTCCGACATCGTAAGCAGGACGCAAGAACCCGACCAATCAGGTGGGTGAGATTGGGTCACGTGCTTAAGTTTCTTCGCGATGAACAGTGTTGACAGTATGGCATCCCCTGTGGATCACAGATAAACGTTCTGCAGCAGCAATTGGTTCCCTCATATTGGTTGTAGAGCGTTGGATTATTGGTGTGACCTTTTCAAGGAGTTCTTGGAAAGTGTCCATGTCCATCCTCACAAAATTTCGGAAGCTTCCGGGGGTCTTTCTCCTCCAATTCTTTTTGACGTGCATGATATGCTCCAAGTTTGTCTCTCCTGGCGATTCAAGGTCTCACCCAAACTCGTCTCCTTCTTTGCGAAATTTCATATTTTTTCTTAATTCCCGCCACAAGAAGATACACTATGGCAATTTTTCTTCAGCCGTCGTGTACGTGTTCTCCCCATGGCGGCCTGCCCTGGAACTACTTGTCCTGGACGTTCGAACAAAACTCACCGCGTAAACAGATTAACCGTTGCGTCAAGGACGTACGCGTAAATCTGATAAGGCCTGGACGTACGTCTAGGACGCATCGTGTAAATAGGCCTTTTTTTAACTCGTCGTAGTTTTCGCGCGAATTTATTGCTTCTTGTTCGATTTACGACAGAAACGCCGCCGTTCGACTGATGTCGATCGTCATGTTTTGATGCGACCGTCAACACCCCTCCCCCCACCACCACCACAAGAATGTTACGCGCCTGTCCCATCCCCCGTCGTGGTGATTTTCCCTCTGTGTGAAGTTCTGTGAAAAATCCGTTTATATAGGTATGTTGTTTATAAGGAGTGCATGGCGACTAAGGGAGCCGCAGGCACTTGGAGCGTTTCAATAAAATATAATGCTAAATAAATACGAAATCTATTTACTACCAAAGTCTTAATGTTTCTCAACTCTCCTTCACCTAGTATTATTATCAAGAGCTAATATAATAAATAATAACCTTTAATAAAAAAAGGTGTTTATTAGCTCTTGTGTGCATAGCGTGCAGCGGCGCAGCAGCGTAGCTGCGTGCATTCGGTGGGCGTGTGTTTGCTGTCGTTGGAGCATTTCCAGCACGGCTTGTCGGCAATAATACTAGGTGAAGGAGAGTAGAGAAACATTAAGACTTTGGTAGTAAATAGATTTAGTTTTTATTTAGCATTATATTTTATTGAAACGCTCCAAGTACCAGTGAAGGGAACTATCTGGTTATGGTACCAGCCTGAGAGTACCTCTAATCTTAACTAGAGGTGGTGGCTCCAGTAGTTTTTTTCCCGGGGTTGCTTTCGCGTATTAGTGTGTGCGGAGTTCTTTATTTAGTTCGCTGTCTGCTTATGTGACAACTTGTTGCGACTGTGGTTTTTGCCGACCACCTGCTCGTATGGCAAGTAGTTATTCCCTCAGGTGGTTTTCTCTTCTCTCCTCTCTCCTCTCTCCTCTCTCCTCTCTCCTCTCTCCTCTCTCCTCTCCTCTCCTCTGCCTGCTCCTCTCTCCTCTTTCTCTCCTCTCTCGCCTCTCGTCCCCCTCCTCTCTCTCTCGTCTCTCTCGTCTCTCCTCCGTCTCGTCTCCTTTCCTCTCCCCCTCTCTCGCTCCTCTCTCCTCTCTCTCCTCCTCCCCTCTCCTCTCCTTCTCTCTTCTCTCCGCTCTTTCTCTCTCGCGCTCATCTCTCTCTGTCTCCCTCCTTCCTCCCTCTCCCTCCGATTCCTCCTCCCCACCTCCCTCCCTCCTCCCTCCTCCTCCCTCCCTCCCTCCCTCCTCACTCCCTCCCCTCTCTCTCTCTTCTCTCTCCTCTCCCCCTCTCTGCCTCTCTTCCTCTCTCTCTTCTCTGCGCTCCTCTCCCCTATCTCCCTCTCTCCCTCCCTCCCTCCCTCCCTCCCTCCCCCCTCTCTCTCTGCAGTCGGGCGTGTCAAACACTCGCCTCGGCTTGTCCATGTGACAGCGAACGTACGTACGTGGACGTGCAGCGCGCATGGTTGGCACGCGGCGTCGCACGTGCTGGCCCTATATGCTGGTGACTACTGCTATCCGATGCCTTGCTGTTGCTGATACCCTGATGCTATGCTGTCGGCTGCTATCTGATGCTATGTCGGATTATATCTGATTATGTCGATCCTGCACCTCGTTGGCTGGTTGATCGGCGTGACACACGCAGCAGCGTGAGTACGTAAGCGCGCGAGTACATGTTGAAAGGTGAACGGTGGCGAGATAAGGGGCCGAGGCCCCGGATGGTTGCGACTGTCGTCGTGGAGTGTATGTATGTATTATCTACGCCCGTGGTTGCGACACTGCCGGTCTGCAGCAAGCGCCGCAATGCCGACGTCCCCGGAGCACGACCCGGCGCGTGATACTCGAGTGCAAGAGTTGTTTAGATGGAGCCGAGATGCAATTTCTTGCTCGCCAATCTGGTTGTGGATTTCTGACCGTTAGCTGAACGGCGCTGGTGGTTTAACCGAATTAGAAGCTTTGGAATAGAATTTATGATCTAGCCTGCGACGGCCACGGTCAACCTAGTGCTTCGTGCGGACCCTATGGAGCGGGTGGACCAGGCTAGACGCCGTCGTTAACTCTGCGGTCAGCGGCGAGGCAAAGGACTGCATGGATCAATCTAGGTGTCGTATAACACGGTGGTCAGTGAAACTTGCGGTCAGCGAGAGTGGTGCGATGGTCAAGCTGTATATACTAGTACATCCAGGGATGAGGATGCATCGGATGAGAGGAGGATCGCAACTAGTGAGTAAGTGAGCGCTGTAGGAACTGCGTCGAAAGGAAGCTGATACGGCGACGTATCGTGGGAGGTGAAACCCACCAGAAGAAGAATCCCTCTCAAGTGATAGTGACGGTAGTCCCGCAAAGTGCAAGCATATGCGAGTGTGTATATTTTTTTTCAATTTTCATCAGTCACTTTAACTACGAATTTCGCGATTATTTTCCCGATCCCGCAAAACACGTGTCCGTGGATCTGTGCGTGCGCGGATCCTCTGACCTCTGCGTGACCCCAGGAGGCTGATGAAGCAGCACCGCGATGAGTCGCGATGCACCGCGTCGCAACTCCACCACGCGAGCGCGCAACTCTCACTTTCCCCACTACGTGGCGAGGCCGTGGCGACGGACGATGACGATGGCAGCGGCAGCGGTTGCACTGACCAGAGGCGGCGCACGGGGTCGGATTCCAAGCTGAAGCCCAGTTCTCGGCTAAATTTTCCGCGCAGATAGCGTACGCGCGTGCAGCGACAAATCTCACCGGACGTTGACCTGACGGGAAGGCTCCCCCGGGAAGAGCAGCGATGTTAATTTTCTGTTCCTATAACCGCTTACTCCCTCGTAACGACGCTTAACTCGCGACGCCACTGCGCTGACGCCCCGATCACGGCGCTCGCGTCTGTCGCTCTGACGCCGACGCTGTGTAGTTCTGACGCTGACGCACCCCTCACGGCGCTCGCGTCCGTCGCTCTGACGCCGACGCTGAACGCACGACGACGACGCGTGGTGCCGACGTCGTGCTGCTGCTGCTGCTGCTGCTGACGTCGCCGCGTCGGCGATGGCGTGGCGCGTGCACATCCTGCCTGGCGACCACCTCGACCAGTTTGTCTCCGACGACGCGTCCGACTACGAGATACCGAAAGCTCGCAAGGAGCTGCTGCGCAAGCGCGCGCGCCGCAACACGCGACCATGGCAACCGCATCCTCTGACAGCATCCTCGCAGCAGGCGCAGCCGCGGGAATTTGAGGATGCTTCGCCCGGAGCAACGCGCAGCTTCGTGCACCCGCGGCCGTGGCTCGAGAAGCCGCGCGAACCGCATCCTCCGGCAGCAGCATCCTCGCAGTCGCGGCTGCAGCATCCTCCGGCGACGGCGGCGGCAGCGTCGCAAACCGAACCGAGAGAATTGTCGAGGCGACGGCGACCGCATCCCGCCGCCGCCGCGGTGGTGACGTCACGACTGCCGCAGCAGCAGCAGCGTCCGCAGAGGGTTGCATCCCCAGGGGTGCGGCAGTCGATGCTGTCGACCTACGCACCTACCGCCGAGGTACATAGATACGTTAGGGTGTAGCCTGGCAATGGCTTCAGTGGTGACTCTCTGACTCATTATACACGGGGCATTGCTTCACAGCGAACATACACGCTCGACGACCCAGTTTTCTTATACCTCCTCTCGCATAGAGAAACCCGGCGTGCTTCATTTAGCGCGGTCACGATGTGAAATTAATATTTCCAGTCTGTTTGCGCTGTAATCCTACATTAATCCTCTTTTTAATTCCACGTTAGCCTGTTGTATATCACGGGGGGGGGGGTCGCGCGAGGAGCATATTACGTAACAAACACCCTCGTAAGGTCTCGCTCCATAACATTGTAGAATCAGTTGTGTGATGTATCTGTCACTGGCATGTAGCTAATTACTCGTGCAGCGCTGGGCGCGCATTAGGGTAAATATTGACAAATTCTTCACAAATATAAATATAATGACAAACATGACAAAAACTATATAAATGATATAAAAATGAAATAAAATGATGTAAAAATGATGACAAATATTTGTCTTTATTCACCGCGCGGATCCATGGCGCGCATGCATGCTCGATTTGGATCTGATCTCGCGGCTACTGCGTGTAAATAACTGTAAATGAAAAATATGGGGAAACTCGGTGTGGGAATCTCACGGCGGTGTCCCGTCGAAGCGTCGAACCCTGGCGTGATGGGGCGGCCCGGCTCTCGTTCGTCGCCAGTCGTGCTCTGTGTCTGCGTCTGCGTTACGTTGGTCCGCGTCACGTCTGCGTCACGCTGGTCTGTGTCTGCGTCATGCGGGTCTGTGTCTGCGTCACACGGGTCTGTGTCTGCGTCACGCTGGTCTGTGTCTGCGTCACGCTGGTTTGTGTCTGCGTCAGGCTGGTCCTCGTCCGTCATAGCTTCACTTCTCCCGGCGGTCGTGAGTGGATTCTGCTGTTATCTTGCGACGAGATCGACGGCTACTGACGTATAGCGACGACACGCGATCGACGGCTACTGACGTATAGCGACGACACGCGATCGTCTGCTGATAGGCGGGTCGGCGGAATCGCTGGAATTATATCTCCGCAGCATGCATGGCCTCCCGTGGCTATCATGTCAGCAACTGTAGCTGGCTGGCGAACTCTCGACATGTAGAGTTTACGATCGGTGGTTAAAGTAACTATTGCGAGAGTTTTCCAGTATTTTCACCACTTTCATGACACCTACCGTTATTGCTTGAGTTAGTTGTCTAGAGTAACGATAAAATGTCTTAGAACCTTCGTATTCACCAAAAAAGTGCCAGTTTCGAACTAATCGTTTTTGTAAACAATCGTTTTCTGTCATCTTGAACTAGTCGGAAGTATGGATTAGCTTGTGGCGCCACCGCTTATCTGTCGTAGACATAGTACAGGCTCTCTCAAAGCATGCACTTGTTTTCAATTCATCACCGACACAAATGCAACTTTATCAATTCTGCCATTAGGCATTATCGGCATACGATCAAATTTATTGCTGTTACGATGTGGTCAAATCCATTTTTCTATGCTATAACTGCGTAAAATCTGCACAATATTTTTAATGTTGGTGTAATCAGTGATATTTCCGCTGTCGGGTGAGACTATATTCAGCTATATTTAGTTTTTTGAGCAAAAATCTCGCATTAGTTAGTTTAAGCTCCCGGTCTCTGCAGCCGTATACGTAGCTCGGAGAGTAGGTTCGTTTCTGTCCACTTATATATAGTGCTTTCACACTGCATGGTGTGTGGAGGGAATCTTAGTTGAGTGTACGCCCAGTATTTTGGTCCGGCCCGTATATAGGAGAAGCATAGTTAGTTTCTGTCCGGTCACTCGTGGTACTTTCAGCCTATAGTCTGGTGAAGTGGGCGATTGGTTCTACCTACTCTAGGCGCGTGTAATACCAGTATGTTTGCCTCTAGCCTTCAGTAGAACCGATCAAGTGTTAGTGTCACGTTAGGGGTTTCATGGAGCAAGTGGAGTGGATCTGAGAGAGTGTACGTCCCGTATTTTTATATATATATATATATATACGGGACGTACGCTCTTATAAAGGGGAAAACTTTTAGGTAGGATTGTTCATTCTTGTAACTTCACGATGCTTTTGTTCAGTCTATGAGAAAATGTTTAATGTTAAGACAAATTTTTATCACTAATATTAATTTTATCACTAATTTTTATCACTAATTTTTATCACTAAGTTTAATGTTATCAGTAATATTTGTTTCTAGTGACGGGCCCCGGTACTTTTATCCCGACTCTGTCCTATTAATGCAGGAAATACATGCCAGCTTGTAAATAAATTGCGGCTTTTATTTCTCGGCGTGCGTAATTAATCAATCTCTCGTAAATCCGGCCGTCTTAATTAATTGTCGGATTCGGATGTACGGCCGTGACATTCACGTCGGCAGTAATTGACAAGAGGAAGCCGACGTAAACGAAGGAGGGACGACTCGGCTTCTCCCGGTGCGTGCGAGCCGGGAGGCGGCGTCTTCTCCGACTTTTTTCCGAAAGTGCGGCGTCTCATTTTCGTCGACGGTCTGTCGTTTCGTATAGACGAGTAGAGCTTCACGGGTTTAGTAGTAATACGAATAGTACCCCCGGGGCGTTTACCGGCGAGTGTAAGAATACTTAATGGCGGTTGGCACGGGGATTTGCATAATAAATATTTTGAAGCTATAGTTGCGTGGGTAGTTGCTGTCGGAAGGGACGGCTTTGAATGATTAGCGGTGATAGGCGTATAAATATGTGCGTGCGTGCGTGTGTGTGTGTGCGTGCGTGCGTGCGTGTGTGTGCGTGCGTGCGTGCGTGTGCGTGCGTGCGTGCGTGCGTATGCGTGCGTGCGTGGCGTCCATCGAATAAGACTAGAAACAAGCGCGACTATAAAAAAAACTCTGAATACCGCCCCAAGAACTTGCTAAAACTGGCCGTTTGAAATGCCAGTTCCATTTGTCAGAACTCGTCAAAAGTCAACGTCCGTTGTTTTACTTCACGAATAAGCTAATAGATCTAGAAGCGTTCAATACTGGGCCGGACGTCTGGCTTGTACACGTTGACAAGTTGATCCGGTCTTGCGTGCACTTACTCGCGTAAAGCGAAGTGGGGTTTTTCCTCTCTTTAGTTAAAAAAAAATATTTTCCACAATACTGTTGTTTGAGACGTGGATCGTGCTCGGGGCACTGCGCTATCTGCTACTACATCCTGAAGGAAACGCCCCTCACTCTTTCCATATCCATATCTGTACTTGAGCACGTGCGCGCATAATAAATATAATGCTCGCCAATATATATCCAATGCTCTTCGGCGCACGAGGAGCACGTGCCTACAAGCTATGTGTACGTGATCTGCGCATGTAGATGAAACCTCGTCCATAACTAGCCATGGTTGCTTAGGGGGAGGGAGGATACGTGTATGCAGTGCACGATCCTAATACATATACACGTACATATACGTGGCAATGGAAAAAAAAAGTCTTGCTCTGAGTGCAGGCGTACATCACGTGCAGAATACGTGTACCTGAAAGAAAGGTTCATTTCTTTCAGGTCCCATCTTTACTGTAGCTACTGGTGCTGTATATAGGAGTAATGCAGTGTGGCAATTAGCGCAGTATGTGCCCGTAAAGGAAACGGTCTCATTCTTACGGCTGTTACTGGAGCTAGGGGTAATGCAGTGTGGTAATTAGCAAATTATATGTAGGTAAATGAAAAGGTCTCACTCCTATTGCAGCTAGTGGAGCTAGGGGCTTATGCAGTGTGGTAATTAGCGGAATATATGCCCGTAAGGGAGACGGTCTCATTCTTACGGCAGTTATTGTATAGCTTGGAGTATATGAAGGCTGGTAATTAGCAGAATATATGTAGGTAAAGGAAAAGGTCTCACTCCTATTGCACGTGCTGGAGCTAGGCGCTATACAATGTGGCAATTAGCAAAATATATGCCAGTAAGGGAGACGGTCTCATTCTTACGGCAGTTATTGTAGAGCTTGGAGTTATGAAGGCTGGTAATTAGCAGAATATATGTAGGTAAAGGAAATGGTCCCACCTAGTGGGGGCGGTAGAGTGAATGGTGGGATCTCACCTTACGTAGAACACAGTACATGGATCAACGTCGCAAGTACTTGGGGGTGGGGGACAATGTACTTCTCTACTACTACTCTCTACTACTACTCAGTACACTCTGCTATAGCGTGCGTTCTCTCTGTCTAGCGAATATTACGATGTGGACACTATAGCTCTAGCCATCAGTGCGAGTGGACAGTGTCCACGCCCCGCTGTAGCTGGGATGCTGCGATAGACGGATGGATGCGATTGATGGCGGAGCAACAAAGAAGCAAATCAACGAGCTGCTCGTTGTCTGTCAGAGAATTCGGAGGCAATCAGTGCGAGCCCCCGATTCTCTATGGGCGGTATCTACATTTAAAGGAACCGCTACTGTTGTTTACAGTCGGGGCGAACGATGTGTACAGTGTGGGGGGGGGCAATTGGGTGCTTGTTGCCGAGAATGGAACAAGAGGAATTAGGGGGACTCGCAATATCAACAACCGGGGCGGCCGGGTGTTTGCGAGAGGGAGAGGAAACTAGGGTGACCATGTGAATCAGGGGGTCCGTAGATTGGCTGTGGGTCCGTGGGTCTAGGTCTGTACTGTGTACGAGGTCAGCTGCTAACAGCTGAATACGTGTAAGCGGCAGTTACTGAGATTGCCGGACTAGCGCTTTTTGAGTGAGTGGAGCCATCGGCTGAAGGAACGGTCTGTTGGGAATTGCATATATATATATATATATATATCGGAGGACACGGTAGCACCGAATCTATTCCCGAATTTAGATTGCGTTTTAGATTATGTTTCTTGCATGTTAGGGCTTATGTGATGTAATAATTAAAAAAGAAAATATTGAGAAATGTAAAAGCAAATTTCGAGGGTCAAAGA